GGAGGGCGCCGGCCTGGCCGCCGGGACCTGGCGTGCAGGTGTCGGTGGCGCCTGCCGGGCTTGGGGGAGCGCTGAGCACCGTGACCATCCACGCACAGCAGCACCTGGAGGGCGTGTGGGGCGCAGCCGGGGCCAGCAGCCTCCTGCCGCCCTCCTGCCTGGTGAGTGCTGCGAGGCCCTGTGTCGGGCTGGCGGGAGTTGGGGCTCCCTCCCGGCACCCCCAAGCCTCCCACCGTCCTGCGGACCCCTGGCTCACGGGGCGCCCTGCAGCAAAGGCCCGGTGGTGGGCCTGGTGTTCCAGGCCTTGCCGTCTGCCGGCAGGGTCCCCAGGCCAGAGCTTCCCCCGGCCGGAGGCCGCCCCACTCGGGTGGCCGCCCCACTCTGAGGTCACAGGCGGCCGTGAGCTGGAGGCCCGGGCTCTGGGATGGGCCAGACCCTCCCCGCCGGGTGGGAGGGAGCGCCTCCCCCTGACACCCCCAACCCCCTTCTCCCGGCCAGCTGTGGATGGGCGGTGCGCGGTGCCACCGGCTGGCACCTCGGAGCTTCCCTCCTCTGTCTACTGCAGGGTGCCACTCAGCCCTGGCCTGGGTCCATGCTGAGATCTGGTCTTGTGGGAGCAGCTCTGGGACCAGCGGTGCTTGGGGTGCCCGGTACTGGGCGGTGCCGGCCACGGGCGGGGCACGGGCAGTGTTGCTGGGGTCTCCCCTTTATTCTTCCATGTAGGAGGGGTACCCACGGGGCATCAGTCAGGCTTCCTGGCAATGGAGGGAGCTAGGCGGCTTTGGAGGTGCAGGGAGAGCTGTTCTGGCCGCCCAGGGCGGGGTGATGTACGGTCCAGGCTGTGGCGCTGTCCAAGGCTTCCCGTCGGCCCGCGGCACCGCTGCAGAGCCTGGGTGTCCTGGCCAGCACTGGCTGCCCCTGGGTGGAGGGTGACAGGCAAGTGGGGCTCGGAGGGCGAGGGCTGGAGGTGGGTGGGGGGCGGGCCAGCAAGTTCGGGGACCATGGCAGCGTGAGCAGCCGCGGTAACTGGCCCGGCGACCCGGGGTACTCTGAAGCTGGTGAAGCCGAGTGTGGTGCCCAGTGCTCTGCCCATGGGGCTGTGGGGGCCTGACAGGGTGGGGGCGCCGGACAGAGCTGGCTGCTGGGAGGAGTGTGCAGCTGTGAGCACCTTCCTTGGTGGGTGGGGTGGGAGCCAGCCCAGGGGGTCTGCTGGGACCCGGTGCCTGGACTTGGAGGTGCTAGGAATGGACAGGAGACCCCCTCTCGGACGGGGCCTCGCCGGCCAGGCGGTGAGGTTCAGCACTGGTTCTGATGGTGCTTGAGAGCAAGAGGGGGGCTCGTGCTGGGAAAGTGGGGGAGCCCAGAGGGACTGCTGCCCCCAGCAAAGGCCCCTCCCACCTCCCTGGTATCAGGGTGGCCGTGGGTGGTCCAGCAGTGGCCTCGTCTGGCCACTTGAGCCGGCCACTCAAAGCAGCCTGGCCCGTCCACCCCAGGTCCCCTGCGCTGGCCTGTGCCACTCTGCCGCCGGGGGCCCCTGAGCTGGCGGTGGGCTGGAGGTGTTCCGGGCTGGGTGGCCGCAAGCTGGGCTGCGAGGCGAGGGTGGTGCTGCCCAGGGGCCAGCCGAGGGAACCTGTGTGGCCGTCCTGATGCGCCAGACACTGGCCAGACGGGGCCGAGGCCCAGCCAGAGAGGAGGCACCAGAGCGGGGCCTCATGCAGTGGGTGCTGGGGTGGGGCTGGCACCTGTTGGGCCTGCTGCCCGTGGCTGGCCGGCACGGTGGGCGTGGGGGGCCATGGCCGGGCCGTCCCACTGGCCGGCGAGTCTGTCCCAGTCCAGCCACCCCTTCCGGACAGGCTGCGGGGAGACTGCTGGCCCGGGGTTGGGGTCCTGCTGTGGAGGCCGGGCCATACCTTGGCCCATGAGGCGGGAGCCTGGGCACCCCAGCGCCTGTCCCGGGGGGCTGGTCAGCGCTGTGCAGCGCCAGGTGCTCCCGAGAAGCAGCATGTCCCTTGCTGTACCCGAGCGGAGCCCCCCAGACAGACCCCGTGTCCGCCCTGGGTCGGGGCCCGCGGCAGAGCCCGGCCGGCTGCGGCCGACTGACCCTCTCGCCTTTCCCCCCGCTGCCACGCTGCGCCTCCTTCTGCCATGTCTGGCC